CGCAGGCCGGAATTGGCCCAGGACAAACCTCGGAAGGAAATCATCCTGAAGCATGTGCTGGGGTTTGAGATTTTGGAGGCGGTTCTCACATCGCCCAATGTCAAAGGCATACTCCGCCTTGGAGCGTATCGTCCAGGATCACAGCTACGCTTTGCTTGACAGATATGCTGCAATAATGATTGTTTTTATGGTTCTTGCGCGGGCACGCTGTTCAGATGTCAGGGATATTTTCACTTCCCGTATTGATGTGATGGATGAAGGCCTTTCGAAAGGATATATTGAGATATCCACCTTCAACCACAAGAACACTACGCGTGCTGCCGGTACAGGGTTGCCCCTACTTCTGATCGCCAGCGAGATGGGGCAAAGCCTTCCTGGACGTTGCCATGATGATGGGCAAAGACCTGAAGGCTGGATTTGCTGGACCGTTGCTCACTTCGCCAGATAGGAATGGCCGGCTTACGGAACATGAAGAGCTTGGCCTATGGCTCCGTGCTCTTCTGCAAAAACAGGTTGAGCCACTCTCGGGTTTGACTGGGCATGGCATCAAGGCAACGGCACTGTCGTGGGCAGCAAGGTACGGGTTGCCGGATGAAGTCCGAGCGGTACTGGGGGACCATTCCATGAGAGGGCGAGACGCTAGAGTTGTGTATGCAAGGGACCATCAAGCTATGCCATTGAGAAAGCTTGATGAGGTTCTCCAAGCCATTCGCAGTGGTGTTTTTCTGCCTGACAACAGCAGGGCCTCTTATTTTGATGGTGCATCTCAAGACGTTCGGGAAGAGGCGCCCACCTGTAAGGACGATGAGGGCCCCACTGCTGATGATGTACACGCCCCAGGACATGATAGCACAAGTTCAAGTTCTGAGTCAAGCTCCACCGATGGGTCAAGCTTGGATGAGGCCGTTGTGCGGGCCAGCCATGTGTCCCCCGAACCCACAAATTGGGGGAGGGGAACCCCGTTTGAGCACAATGTAACCAGAACGTTACATGTCCTGCCTGAGGGGCCCACCACGAACACCTTCGTTTGTGGAAGGGTTTGTTCGGACAGTTTCACTCAATTCAAAGGTCAGCTGGTTGATGAATCAGCCAGGTGCAAACAATGCAGAAACTGACATGCGTGTGCTGCAGTTCAATTGTTGACAGAATTTGAGCTCTATGGCAGAACTCAGATGTCTGGTCTGTGAAACTGACATGCATGTGCTGCAGTTCAATTGTTGACAGAATTTGAGCTCTTGTGGGCTACCATGACGTCCTTGATGGACAGTGAAGCGGTGCTAAAGGCACGGCTCAAAGAATCCTGCTTGCCCGAGGAGAACGTGTCTGTACTCCTAGGCAAGCAGTGCCCAGTTGAGTGGTTTGGTGACCGAAGAGGTCGGTGTCGCAATTCTGGCGGCAATCAGACAAGTGCACTTTGAAGCCCAGACTCTCGCTGTGGCTGCTCTTAAGAACCTTGTTGAGCCTAAGAAAGACTCTGCTGCAACTACCGAGCTCCCCTTTGTGGAGCGCAATGAGCGCAGTTTGCAGATTGCAGAAAAGTCGACTTCAAGGCCTGGACCTCAGCGGAGCCTTGGAAAATGCACATTCCAATTCTGATTTGGTTTTTTCACCATGAGAGCAGAACTCCTTGAAGTGTCTGAGTCCGGCCAAGTTTCCGTCGCGGAAGCAGAAGTTCATGCAGGAGAAATGCTTGCAGGAGCTCAAGGTTGGCTCGTCTGGCTTGATCATTTTTGGTGAAAAGAACAAGGACATGGAAGCCGAATTGGGGACCGATCCTCTTCAAGCAAAGGTGTTCTCCCTTGGCACAGGCATTGTTGGTCACCGGACCGCAGGTCTTGCCTTTGATGTTATACGCCCAACACTTGCGACAACCCTGCTCAATCATGGTAAAAATCTCGGGAACATCCACGAGCTCAGGAGGCAACCGAGGCCCTTTGTTACGAGACGGATCTTCTGAGACGGATCTTTTCACCTCCAGCCCGGTGAGCGCCTCTCCTTAGAATAATATTCCATCCTGGCCCAAGACGGATCTTCCGAGACGGATCTTTTTACCTCCAGCCCGGCAAGTGCCTCTCCTTAGGAAATTCTTTTCCTTCGGCCCGAGACGGATCTTCCGAGACGGATCTTTTTACCTCCAGCCCGGTTAGCGCATCTCCTTAGGGAATTCTTTTCCTTCGGCCCGAGACGGATCTTCCGAGACGGATCTTTTCACCTCCAGCCCGGCAAGCGCCTCTCCTTATAATATTCCATCCTGGCCCAAGACGGATCTTCCAAGACGGATCTTTTTACCTCCAGCCCGGCGAGCGCCTCTCCTTTGGAAGTTCTTTTCCTTCGGCCCGCGACGGATCTTCCAAGACGGATCTTTTTACCTCCAGCCCGAATTCTTTTCCTTCGGCCCGAGACGGGTCTTCCAAGACGGATCTTTTCACCTCCAGCCCGGCGAGCGCCTCTCCTTAGAATAATATTCTATCCTGGTCCAAGACGGATCTTTTCGCCTCCAGCCCGGTCAGCGCCTCTCGTTAGAATAATATTCCATCCTGGCCCGAGACGGATCTTCCGACGGTTCTTTTCACCTCCAGCCCGGTGAGCGCCTCTCCTTAGAATAATATTCCATCCTGGCCCAAGACGGATCTTCCGAGACGGTTCTTCTCACCTCCAGCCCGGTGAGCGCCTCTCCTTGGGAAAGTAATTTCTCCCTGGTCCGAGACGGACCTTTCGCCTCCAGCCCGGTGAGCGCCTCTCCTTAGAATAATATTATCCTTTGAGCCAAAGCACACCCACCCCAAACCAAACCTACGAACGGACCTTAAAAGCCCGGCTCCTTAGGACAAAAGGAGGGGAGCGCACCAAACGGCAGGGAGGGGACCTGAAAGGTAAATCAAACCAATCTTCAGGAACGGCTCAACTCGATACGCTGGTGCGGACTCTTTTTGCAGGCATGGGGTGAAGGCGATACAGCTTCCAAAGCTGTAAAAACACGCGCATGCTGTCTTGCGGCGTCGCCCACTTACCCAGGCGATACAGCTTGCAAAGCTGTAAAAACAGATCAGCGTTCAATGCTTTCCATGCCGCACAATCAAGACGCACATGCTGTCTTGCGGCGTCGCCACTTACCCCCAGAAATGGGAGGGTGGGTCAAAATTCACTCACGTGTCATTGCACACAGTGCCTTGCAGCCAAAATGGCACGTGAGATTCAAACATGTGTTGAGTTTGTGAACAACTCATGTCCATGCTTGTTTATCAAGGTTCACAAACAAGCAGGTTAACCAAATTGCTCAGCGGTCATCAGGCTAACCCATCGTTAAAACTTAACAGGCATGCATTCACAGACGCATGACACAAAGGAGGAAACATATAGTTCAAATGTTGCTCGACAACAAATGTACTATGGCCCTCGTGGGAGGGAAAACCACAAACAGGGTGGGTGCACTGTGGTCTACAAACGCAGCCACAGTTTTGCTAAGGCTGCAGAATAATGCTGCATCCACCTATGGTGGAGTTACGCCTTATCCTTTGAGCCAAGGCACACCCACCCCAAACCTAACCTACGAACGGACCTTAAAAGCCCGGCTCCTTAGGACAAAAGGAGGGGAGCGCACCAAACGGCAGGGAGGGGGCCTGAAAGGTCAATCAAACCAATCTTCAGGAACGGCTCAACTCGATACGCTGGTGCGGACTCTTTTTGCAGGCATGGGGTGAAGGCGATACAGCTTCCAAAGCTGTAAAAACAGATCAGCATTCAATGCTTTCCATGCCGCACAATCAAGACGCACTTACCCCAAGTACACAGACGCTCACAACGAGCGTTCTTCCAACACCGCATCGATATCGACTTGCACGTTGAGCATCTTCATTTGTTCCGGCACCTCCCCCCTAGACGGGGCATCTGCTGGATTTGAGAAAGAACAGACTCTCTCAAACCAAATCAGCGAGCCAATTGCAACTTCAATATTGTACACAAATTGCAAAACCTTCTCCTCGCCAGCCAAGGAAGCCTTGTTTGAAATGAAGGAGCCGAGGGCGGCCTTGTTGTCAGTGAAGATAACAGGAGCAAATCCACAAAGCCTCTTATGCCACAAAGAAAGTGCGACTGCAACAGCAAAGGCCTCCAACTCGTAAATGGGGTTCTTGCTGCCCACGTTGGCAACGCACTGCAACTGGGTGTTGGTCATGAAATAAGAAAAGACCGCCAGGCACTTTTCTCCTTCCATCAAAATCCCACCGAGGCCAGCTTTCAGGTCGCTCGAAGATTCATAGCAAGCGTCCACATAAATGTGCCTGACCGGCATCTCCCTCGCTGCGATGCGCCTGGAGGATTCTGTCACGAACCCACTTGAGCGCAGCCCGAACGGCCTCATTTGCTTCAAAGACCCGGCGGGCACCATCCAAATGACGGCGCAAGGTCTTCATTGCAACTGCTGCCCCACGGCCCCAAATCTGCGCCTCTGCAAATTGCAAACGGCCCTTAAGGGTTTCCCAGTGGGCTGGCTTGATCTTCCCATCATCGAGAACCTGATCAATAGCCGTGGTCAGCTTGAGCTTTCGGTCCTCCGTGTTGCTGACCTTGGCAATGGCGTGGTCCCACGGCCCAATACTGAGACCCAATACAATGCACACTGCGCTGAAGTCACAGTCCTTGTCATCTGCAGTCTGAAACCCAATGAATGAAAACAAGGCGCGCACAATCATTGCAGTGTGCAAAGCTGCTAAACATGTAAGGCACCGTAGACCCCTTGTGACACACATGTAGTTCATGATTAGGTGAACGATGTTTTTCCGCTTTGTGTTGGTCCATGCGAAACGGCATGTACGAACTGTGAGCCCGTGCAGGCGTCTCGGATGAAAAAGTTTAGCATGGTAGCGGAGCAACGACTCCTGGTAGTTCCATGGTCTCTTGCTGGTTGGCTTTATAGTGTGCTTTGAGCTTTACACTATTGTGGCCCTGAGCTGGCGAGTGGAATGGCGCAACCGAGCAGCCCGCAAAGGGCGACACCTCAAATGGCAGAGTTGGAGCAGTTCTTTACGCAGGCAAGAGCTGTCACACAGGCAGCTATGGAGACGGCACAGGTGAATGCTGCAACGGTGCAAAACCTGATTGCGGCCCAGGTGCAGCAAGCTCAACCGCAGCAGAGTGATCCGGGATCTCTGTTGCAGGCAAAGGATCTGGCCAAAGTGTTGAGGCAGCCCAAGGAGTTCAGACCTGCCACTCGAGAAGAAGAGCTTTCGCAGTGGAAGTCATGGAGCTGGGAACTTGAGAATTACCTTATGGCCCTTGACCCTGGTTTCAAAGACGATTTTGATTTGCTCAAACAGCAGACGATGCCGGTTGACCTTGCAGATATGGATTCTCCTGTTCGACATCGGAGCGTGCTTTTATTTTCGGTGCTTGCGAGTTTATTGCATGAGAAGGGCAAACAAGTTCTTAAAGCAGTTGAACCTCAGAATGGATACGAAGGTTATAGACGTTTGCGTCAGGACCTCATTCCATCTTCCCGCAGCAGAACTTTGGCGTTGTTACAGACTTTGAACAGCTGGCCACAATTTGACATGAGAACTGGACTTATGGCGCAAGTTGTACGTTTGGAAACAGCCATGACAGAGTATGAAGAACTCACTGGACAACCCATGGATGCAAATTTGAAATTGGCAACAATGCTTCGATGCTTGAGTGGTCAGTTGCGACAGCATACAAACCTGGTGGTTACAGATACAAGTTCTTACAACGATGTTCGCAATTTGGTTATTCGCTGGGACAGCGCTCAGACTCGTTGGCAGGAGCCCCTCTTGAAGAGTTTTGACCTTGGTGACACAAGCACAGATGACCCCATGGGCTCGGTCAACAGGCTGCAAGGGAAAGGAAAAGGAAAAGGAAAGGGCAAAGGTAAGAAGGGCCAGAAAGGTTCTGACAAAGGCGGCAAAGGCAAAGGAAAGGGCTTTGGCAACAAAGGCGGCAAAGGAAAGGGCAAATATGACACACGGAACAATCAGCAGACTTCTGGTTACGACAATCAGAAAGGCGGCAACAAGGTCGCTAGCGATAGCTGCATGTACTGCGGTAAGAAAGGTCATTGGAAGAGAGATTGTTACAAGTGGAAAGCTGAACAGGCAAACCAACATGTCAGACGTGCTGATGAGTTTCATGATGTTCCACAGCCGCCGCAGCCCGCGCAGACAACACAGCCCATGTTGACCATGCAGCGCAACAATCAGTCAGCCCCAAGTGTTGCTAGCGGTGGAGCTGGTTCATCCACCACGTACAGATCAGCTTCAAGCACAGCAACAGTCAGAAGAGTTTCAACTGTTCCCACAATTGAGCTTGATCCGGATGACAGAGCTGTTGATTTGACAATCTTTTCGCTCACCGAATGCGATAGTGAATTTTCTGGAGATTGCGGAGACGGGTATGTATCGGCGATCACTGCATCTGCCTCAGACACCCGTCAGGTTTCGCTTGCAGATTCAATTGAAGTTTTTAGCATGAGTGCAAATGACAGTGATGATGTGTGGACATTTGCATGTGGGCGTTGCAATTTGGATTCTTGCAGTATTTGCAATTCATTTCAGATCGCTGGTGCAGATTCATTCCTGGAGGTCCGAATGCTGTCAGGTAGCAACCCATCTGGAGAGGTCGAAGTGATCCTGGACAGCGGATCCGACGTGAGCATTTTGCCGGAGGCTTGGTCTTCAATCGGTACACAGGGTAAGATGCCCCCACTGCAGTACCGAGATGCGCAGGGCAACCCTATCAAGATTACAGCCTCACGAGAGGCCTATGTCACTCTTGGGGATACTAGCTTCAGAGAGGTTTTTGCAATTGGGCCAGTGACTTGCCCGATCCTCAGCTTCGGAAAGCTCGTCAAGGCTGGTTGGAGTTTGACGAAAGCAAGTGGCAAACATATGCTTGCACATGGGGACAAGCGCATTTCAGTTGGCTTCAAGAAGAACTCGTTGGTAACTTCAGGAACCATCAGAGCAGTCATGGAGGCAGGTGATGCCGAGCAGTTGGAGCAGTCTATCAGGCGCGTGGTCCTTGGTGATGTGCTATCTGCAGTAGGTCCAGAATGGGTTCAGATTGCAGATGGTTGTTTTGCAGTCAAATGCAAGACAGATGCATTTCTTGATGTCAGCATGCGCATGCCAAATGAGAATATTCGAATGCGGACAACGCTTATCATGAACAAGGATGGACATTGGGATGTTTTGGAGTACGCTCAGCCCATTGCAGAGCTTGCGGATCAGCAGGCACCTTTCTCGGAGCGTGGCGAATCTCTTTCGACAGTTTTGACAATTGCATACAGACAGAATGTGCCTGCACACAGGCTTGGATTTACTGTGGACTCAGAGACTGAAACTGGAAGCAGCAGGGATGTGCCCATCACATCCGATGAGCCAAGCAGCGCACGGCCATCAGAAGAGAAGAAGGTTGGTTTTGAGCTTGCAGATGAGAGTGGAGAGCAAAACAGTGGGCCTGTGGATGAGCAGCAGCATGTGCCAGCGCCGCTCTCGCTAGATAGCGAGTTGGCGCAGAAAGACACTGTGCCCGGACAGCCAGTTGTTGCCGAAGTGAAGATTGATGAGGTGGTTTTGACAGTTGATTCAACTGTGAAGGTTTTGAGAGAAGCTTGCAAGGCCTGGGGCCTCGGCATGTCAGGTGGAAAGAAGCTGCTATTTGGGCGGCTTGTGGAGCACGACAAGAAGGTGCGTCTGCATCAGAGCAGAGAGCTTGCTTTGCAGAGCAAGCCAGATGAGAGAGAGGTTGTGGAGGTTCCAAGAGTTGCAGAACCTACACCGGAGCAGGTTGCGCAGCATTCGGCAACGCATTTGCCGTATGAGAGCTGGTGCCCAGTTTGTGTCAGCTTTCGCGGAAGGGCTGACAAGCATCCAAAGCGGTCCTCTACTATCAGGGGAGTGCCGCATGTGGGCATGGATTTTTGCTTTACGGGCCGTGAGGAGGACTCGCAGGAGAAGTTGCGCGTGCTTGTTTTGAAAGACAAGGACTCGAACATGATCGATGCAATTCCGACACCCGGCAAGGGTGGAAAGGCGACCAAGCACTTGGTCACGGAGGTGTGCAGATTTTTGAATGCACTGGGGCATCATGAAGTGGTGCTCAAGGGAGATGGAGAACCAGCGATTGTGGCTCTTCAGAATCGCATCAGTGAGATGAGAAGCAAACTTGGGATGCATACGCATTTGCCTCAGCAGTCCCCACCTGGGGACCATCAGTCAAATGGGATGGCTGAGCAGACAGTTCAGCAGACACGTCAGGCCTCGATGCTGCTGGAACAGTACACGGCAAACACGAAGTGCCAGGTGAAGACACAGTTGGAGTTTTCGACATGGTGCGTGGCTCCTTAACAGGTACAATCCGCAGAGAGGCATCACGCCCTTTGAGCAGGTCGCTCAGGCGGAGTACCGCGGCAAGACCATCTGTTTCGGAGAGACTTGCTTGGCGCATTGCAAGCCATCCTCAGCAAAGGGTCTTCCTTCCTGGATCAAATCCATGTGGTTGGGGAAAGTTTCTGGCAGCGATATGCACATCGTGGCCACGGCAGCAGGCAGGCTCATTTTGACTCGTTCAATCAGGAGGCTTCCGGATTCTGCAAGGTGGGATCCAAGCATGCATGACAGTGTGACGAGCTTTTCTTGGGAGCAACCCGGTTTGACAGCTGGACATGTTGCGCATCAGCCCAGGCAAGGCCGAGCAGCTATACAGGTTGAGCATTTGATGCCAATGCTTGAAGATGGAGCGCCTCTTTCGGCTTTGTTGGAGGCGGGGCATGTGCCCGAAGTTGGTGGAGGTGGTGATGAGGCAGCGAGTGATCCACCTTCGTCAAATGAGAGCGGCCCGGATTTGTCCGAGGTCAGTCACGCAGTGGATTCTGCCCAGGCGGGGCAGGAGATGGACACAGGCAGTTCTCAGCCGGTGCCAGCAGCAGGCAGCGGTTCAGCGCAAGTGAGCAGGCCGGCAGAGCCTGCTGAGCTGGAGGAGCAGCGGCCTTTGAAGCAGCCGCGCGTGGAGTCGCAGAAGAGACAGAAAACGGTAGCAGCGGCGAAGGTTCTTACCGCACCGCCGTTTTATGCAGGTGATGTGAAGCGTGTGGTTGGAGGTCAGCAACTGCACCACATGGACACGCATGTGACGGGTGTTCTCACGAACGAGGACGCGGAGATTTTGGAGCAGACCTGGGAAGACTGGGGAGGCTCTGATTCGGAGGATGATGATTTTTCAGCTGTTTCAACTGCAGATGTTGATATGCATACAGAAGTGGAGAAAGCCGGATCGCCTGGCGAAAGGAAGCCAGCCGAGCCAATGTTTGCAGACATTGATCCGGATGAGCTGTATTTTCCAGGCTCGCAAGACGAGCCCGAGTTTGATTTTGATACGTTGCAGCAACTTGATGCCAAGGCGGAGAAAGTTGAGTTGAACAGATTGCACGCTATGGGAGTCTTGCATGTTTTGGATGATGTTCAGGAAGCAGCAGCTTCAGACACGCATGCAACCCTGACGACTCGCTTTGTGCATACATGGAGGTTGAAGATGTATAAGGGTCGTAGCATGTGGCTACGAAGGGCTCGCCTCGTGGCGAGAGATTACGCGCGCTTGGACCCATTTCGCGAAGGTTTGTTTTCTCCTGCGTCTAGTGCAATTGTGACAAGGTTGATTCCAGCATTGTATTGCAATTTTCGGGATTCGAAACAGTGGATTCTCATGGGACTTGACATTTCGGACGCCTACCTCACATGTGACCAGAGGCATCCTACTGTGATTTCAACTTGGACAGGTGGCGATCGGATCGCATGGGAACTTCGCAAATGCGTCCCTGGGCAAAGGGACGGAGCACTGGTTTGGTATGAAGATTTTTCAGCATATCTTGCGGAGACCATCCACGCCACATGTTGTGTTGAGATCCCTTCACTTTTCCGTTCGGAGAATTTGGGAGGTATTCCTGGCATTTTTGCTTTATGTAGATGACATCTTGGTTGGAGGCTCAGAGAAACATTGCCAATTGATGCTTGATGCTTTACAGCAGAGATACAAGTTGAGTGTGAGCTTTCTTCGCAAAGCAGGTGACGAGATGACTTTTCTTAAGCGAAAACATTTGCTTGTTCGAGATGATTTGTTGATCATGCAGCCGTTGCACAAACATTTTCAGAGGTTGGTGGATTTGATTTCATGTGACTACATTGGTAGCACACCCCGCAAAGCGCCCATGCCAACGGGCAAGCTGCCGACTGAGACCCATACTGACCCTCTTGATGAGGACCGGTCTCAGCGGTACCGATCGGCCACTGGCCTATTGCTGTATTTGGCTCCAGACATTGCGCAGGCGCAGTATGGGATCAGGCTATTGAGCCAGTTTATGGCATCGCCGACTACAGGCAGCTGGAAGCTGCTCAAGCACATGGTTTCATATCTGTGGGGAGCTCGTGGATATTGCATTGGATTTGAGAAACCTTTTCCTGGCACTGGCCTAGTCGCACATGGCAGCAAGCAATTTTTGCTTGAGATTCTGAGTGATGCGGATTGGCAAGCTTTTGGCTCGAACCTTCTCGTGGTAGCTTGGTTGACTGTAGCTTTAGATGGGGAGGGGCCCGCCATGAAGTGACATTTCGATAAGGCCATTTGCTTGCAAGCAGCAACGAAGTGACCACAGCCTGAATAAGCCCTCGTTCTGCCCTTCCGTGGATATGCCTTCCTCGGGACCACGCGCTTGGTTTTGGAGTGACCTGACCAAATTCAAGATGGCGCCCCGCGCACTCTTGGAAACCCATTCCTTTGGCCTTGTGACCTCACCGAGAGAACTGCATCTCGAACAGAGCTTGTGTCGCTTCTTTGATCTTGGTGTTTTCTCCAAGACAGTGAACATCGAGTTTGAAGGACGCTTCATTACAGCACCAGTGCATGCCACGGATACTGTGTTTTCCGTGGTCCTCCGGGAACTTGGTGCCTTGTCAGGCTTTCGGGTGAAGTCTAGATCGAAATGGATCGGACTTGGGGATCGATTGTTGCCCATGCTCACTGAGACATTGCATGTCTCACGACATGGCATCATGTCCTTCAGCCAGACAGCCACACATGGAAAGGCTCGACGCAATAGGGACGAGAAATCCACCAGGTTTGCCGCCGCGTGCTTTCCGTGTGCGCCCTGTGCGCCGCATGCAGATCAGGTGATACTTCCCGTTTGCCACACAAGTGAATCCCTGACTGCCACGGCTTCGGGAACTCCGTTTGCCATTGGAAAGCCGCAAGATCATCTCGCACATGTTGTGACCGGCTATAGCACCAGAGTACCGCCATCATTTACATTGTGTGCAAATGCCAGTTCACGCAGGTGCGTACCCAACATGCATGACAGTTGCGTTGAGCTCCTTGATAGGACTAAGAGTTGCACAGATATCTCTTGGCTCAATACTTTTGACTCCGCCACGAATTCGACGTTTGATGGTGTCTTCCCTTTAGGGGAAAATCGCCAAAAGGACGGACAAGAAGCGCAGCCTGTGACGCAAACCCGACGCCCAGGTGTGCAAACATTACGCATTTTCTGCCTTTTCGTGTGACGCTGAGGACCAGGGCACGCTTCCAGCGCGCACTGCCATGGTTTCTTGGAAACTTGCACGCTTTTGCAGCAGGAAGAGATTGGAAAACTATCTGCATTCGCCAGTTGTTCTGGTGTGCGGTGAAATTTGCAGAAGAAAATCACGACGACCCAACTCTAAATCAGAGTGCCTGTTTCGATTTGCAGGGCATGCCGCTGTTGCCATTCTGCTCCCGGCTGCGCGTTTCGACAGGTGATCCTGAACATGAAAGCCCTACTACGGGCATCCGATCCAACCAATTCCCTTTGACCGTAGATCTCTGGGTGGTGTTGCCTGGTGCCACCAAATCCGTGGTCATGACAGTGTGTTGTCATTTCAAGTTGAGAGACATCCTTGGTTACCTCCGGCTGAAGAGATTTGTTCATTGCATTTCTAACAGCCTCTATCTAGACTTGGGGACACCAGTGACTGCCCTCTGCAACCAGGTGCTCCGCTTGAAGGACCAGGGAATCTCAGGCGGGATGAAAAGACTCCGCTCACGGAGTGCGCATCCTAAACAGCGGCCAGATCGAAATCCCAACTGAACAGTGGCTCTTTGGTAGGGTTGCCTTTCGGCCCGTGACCCGCTTTGGGACATCGGAGGCACAGCCCATGTTTGCGTCATGAACTGGACCTTGACCAGAAGTCAAGGGGGGAGGCTTGTTTATCTTGCACAGCTCTCGGAGTTTCCCGCGCATCGTGAAATCCCGAATCCCACCGGCATTCTTCAGAATGACGGGATAGCAATGATCGACACACTAGATCCATTTCCAGTTGCGACCTCACCGCAGTGTTTGCTCATCCTCACCAATGTGCAAATTGAGGCGCTCAATGAGGAGCGCCAGATCCACTGTCAGCAGGACACGGCATTTATGTGTCACGAGCCGGGCACACCCAAGCCGAGTGCCTTGAGGGTTATGGACGTGTTTGCAGGTGGCATTGGTGGTTGGTCGCATGCCGTTAGGCACCTCAAAGACCTCCAGGTCCCAATCAGCACTGTTGCCTGCATCGATAACAGCGTAAGTGCTGCTGAAACACACATGAGGAATCATGGCGGCATTCACTTGCAAAGGGATCAGTTTTCCTCAGCATCCGGCCCCTTTGAATCCGGTCAGCATCTCTATTGGAGAAAGGACGTGACTGTGGGCACCCTTGCACTACTCCATAGCTGCACGCATGCCAATTTCTGGACGGTGTCCTGCCCGTGCCCACCCTGGTCCAGAGCAGGAGGTCAGTCTGGCTTCCGAACGGAAAGTGGTAGATTGTGGTTGGATGTTTTTGAAGCTGCCCAGCTCTGTAGACCGGCCATGATTGCAGTTGAGAATGTCTCTACCATCACAGAACATCCGGATTTCATTCACATCAGGAATGCCGCCGCGTGGGCAGGCTTTCGATGCCTTTGGGAAGACACTGCATCGCTTGATGAGCATGTGCCAGCCGGCAGACCTAGATGGTTGGCCCTCTTCGGTGTGCAATGGGGGGAAGACGAAGAGTTGATCAGCTATCGCTGGACGGCCTTGGGTAAACCGACTCTCGCCAACTTTGATGCGTGGCACCTTGACATAGACGAGGAGCACAGACAAAGCTTGGAGCTCACTGAGTCTGCAGTTGTGATTTATGACGACCCCAGGTTCTTGCCTGAGAGTATGAAGATAAAGCACCGCTGCAACAACATATCTGCCCGTGCCATCCGGTCAACCGATCGTCTTGGTACCATCATGGCCACCTACAGCCAACAGCACTTTCTGGGAACTCATCTCGCCGAGACACAGGGCATTTTCGCAGTGTTGGTCCTTGATGCAAAACATACCAATGGCAAGCCGCATTTCCTGTCACCCTATCAGGTCTTGATTGCCCATGGCCTGGAAGAGCCAGCCACTTTGCCAGCCGACGTCAATCAGGCCTTCAGGCATGTTGGCAACTTCATTGCACCCATCCATGCGCTGTATGTGTTAGGAGTGGCCGTTGTCAGACATGCCCGTAGGATCTTGTGTGCACCCACTATAGACCCGATGCAATATATAAGTGCTTATCTGCACAGGCGGATCAGGGCAACCAAAGCCCGTGTCTTGACACGTGATGGTTGGTCCCATGCGGTTGTTGACGCAGCCCGGCATGACATTTCTCCCATCGATGTGACATGGGCCGTCACTGTCACCACTGAGACTCAGTGCTATGAAGTGGTACTGCACCAGCCTGTGCCAGTTGCTTTCATCCAGGATTTGCTTGAAATTCCGAAGCGTGATTATGAAGTCTTCTTGTCAGATCTGAGCGGGCCCCGCAGGGTCTCAGAGCATTTCGAAATCCGCGAAAACTGTCAGGTGCATTTTGTCTCGCTACGCTTTGTGCAGGTCGGAGCGGCTCGCAGTGCGGAATTGAGGTCCTGTCTGCATAGGGTAATACCCACTACCATCCACTTTGAAGAATCCCGCTTCATCGTGTGGATGTGGGATGGTCTCATTTTTTGCATTCAGCGTGTCCCTCCCAACGTGACGCCGCTTGCCTTGGAGTGTGCCGTTGAACTGCAGCAGATGATCAATGTGTACCGTGAGGCCAGTGTTCGCACGTTGGGTCCTGATGGTTGGATTTCAAACAACTTAATCAGGGAGACGGCGGTACCACCTTCGCATCCTGTCGTCAGTGTTTGCCTCAACCCCATTCATACTTCGGTTACATCAGATCCACGCTCCGCGGAACTCTGGGTCAAATGGCCCGGGGCTAGCAAAGCACGGGTGCTTCGTGTACAAATGCATTGTGACCTGAAAGCTGCATGCCGTGCGGCGCACTGCCAAGACCAAGGTGATTTCGACGCCTTGGTGCCCTGGGTCAATGGGTGCCAAATTGCATGGGACACCAAAGCATATCATCTTGCCACATTTGTTGTCTCCCTGAGAACGCAAGGCGTTCGGGGAGGCGTCAAGGCGAAGAATCTTCCGAATCGTTGTGCAACCATCCTGTTGCAACAAAGCGTGCCTGTGCACAGGATTGCACAGAAGGTTGACGAGCTGCTCTCCAGATGTGAGGAAGCTGAAATTGTGACCCTCGAAAATGAAGCTTCTCTTGGGAAACAGAAATCGGCCCTCATTGATTTAGCAGCCAAGCACACGATTGATCTCTTTGGTGAAGCCAAGGGCAAAGGCAAGGGTAAACCTCAGTCCCGTAGGGCCAGTAAGAAACCCATGAAGGGTAATAATGTGGTGGCGCCTCGTGCGGCTGACTTTCAACTGGAGCCGGGCACTTTTCAGTATGCGGATTGTTCCCCAGCCGACGTGCTCACTGAAATCAGTACTAGAACCACAGGGGTGGCCCTGCTGTCACCTGCGGAGGCCGTACCCTGGCTTGCACAGCCACCATCTACGCCAGACGAGCTCGCGGTTATCATCCTAGGGCAAGGACCCAGCTCCCATCCGCAAATTACCAAGCATTCCATTGAGTTTCCTGCTATTTCAGCAGGCGCTCAGGATCGTGTGCTTCTCAGAGGTACGATGTACCAATTGGGCTCAAAGCATGTGAAACTCGGATTGACGCAGCTCAAAATGACAGTAGCAGAAACCGTCACATGCTCGCTCACTGTGCGCAGTGAAGATTTCCAGCCAGATGCTTGGAAGAACCTGGTACAGGCACCTGCAAAAGTGATCCTTCACCGCCTTGGGGAACTCCAGCCTCTCATCACCTCGGTTTGGGGTAGGTCTTTTCGTAAGAATAAAGACAGGAGTGCGCCGGCAGACTCCACCACTGTCCAGGTGTGGGT